AAAACAAAAGTAAAAATCGGTAGGTTAAAAATGCCTCTACGTCTTTAGAATTGTTTTAAATTTAGAAAAATAAGCACTTCTTGGAAAGAGTTAATGCGGACAGTTGGGATCTGTGGGAGGGGGAGGGGGAGGCAGGCGCCCGTGGCCAGCTGCTGAGCGGTGTGGCAAAGGGCCACTGCATTGTGTTTGCCGGCTGCAGGAAGGCTGCTCCTTTCCCTTTCCACGCTGACTCTCACCCCGGCGTCATTGCCTGTATATTTCTAGGTGTGAAGCAAGCAGAAGGATGCGGTCCAAGAAATACGTCCCTGCTTTGATGGATTTTTATGGCCACAAACGACATTTCAGCAATTGAGTGGGGCCCCTTCCTTAAACTGCTAATCGTTCCTGGTTTTCCCATTTCTGCCCTCAGCACATACCTGCAGCCCCTAGAGCGTGTGTGCCTATATATGGAACTTTGTGGTTGCTTTTTAGCTACTTGTTGTCAATGAAATTAGTTTGTCAGAGATGTTTTTGGGATTTGAAGTGACTTGTGCCAGGTAGGACACCGGGCAGGCGAGTGGTGTCAATGTTCGTGGGAGGGATATATAAATGTCTAACAACCGAACTATGTCCCCTGCAGGCCTCCCCTGGTGAAGGAATTGTACAGCGTTATAATAACATTAAAGCATGTTATTACCATGAGGAATAACATGCTAAATATGCATACTTATCTTCATATAGTATGAAAGAATGATTTTAATTTATGAACCGAAAATCTTACACTAGTAAGGCAGGGCATGCATTTTGACTCAGAGAGCTACACTGTAAGATAAAAGGAAATGGCAGAGTACTTATTTCAGTTACTTTCTGTATTATTTAGAGGTTGGGGTACTACTAAGAGGGACCATATTGGGTGTGAAAGCACAGTATATAAGCACAGAACAGTATAAAAACATGGCACACTTGGGATTGGGGGAGGAATAGATGAACCAGAGAGTGAGAGAAGGAAGTAAAAACAGGAAGTGTTTACCGTTTCATAATTTTTCTGAAGAGTATCTCTGAGGTGGGATATGTGTTCTTCTACTTTGTGATTTGTTTACTCATCTGTTCAATGGATTTTGGGTACCTAATGTGTGCTGGGGATCTGTTAGTTCCTGTTGTCAAGGGATTTATCAATATGTGGAGGGAGATAGCCGACTAAAAAATGTATAGTGCTGTGAAGAAAGATAGAGCAGGGGCAGGGGAGGGGCCAGCTCTGTGGCAGAGGATTCAGTGATGACCCCACAGCTAAGGTGAATTTTGAGGAGACACTTGAAGGAAGTTGGGAAATGTGCTGGGCAGTTTTGAAAACCAGAAAGAAGGGCAACATGGCTGGAGTGGAGTAAGGAGGGAAAGTGGTAGGAGATGAGGGCAGAGAGCTACCTGGGGCGGGGGGGGGGGGAGAGGAATATTGGGGTCACAGATTATATAACCAGGGCAAGGACTTCACAGCTGAGCCCTTACCTCCGTCTGAGAAAGATGGGAAGCTGGTGGAGGATAGTCCATAGCACGTGGAATCAGTCCTTTCTCTGCCAGGAGGCACCGATACGGTCCCATCTTGTTTTCCTCATGTGTAAACAGAACCTGTTCTCTTCTCCCATTCACACAGCGATTAATGAGATCATGGATACAAGGTCCTAATGCAGTGGTTGAAGATACATAGTAGCTAATATTGTCACTAATTGTTATTATAAATATTAACAAAGATCCAAGATACCAGCAGCGTTTCTCCATTTCCTTATTACACAAGTCCGTGGGCTGACTTGAAAAAGTTGTCTGCAGTATTTCTCTTTATGTGTGCGGCTGAATACACACCACGTCCCATTTAGACTTTGTCTGAGAATGCTCTGGTGGAGACATAGTTCAGGGATATACGGTGGAGACCAGATACACTTCTGCTCGTGCTGGACGCTTGATACTTTCTATTACACTCTGGAAATGTGAAAAATACACTGGCTAACAGGCAGTGCTTACTTTTCCTTTGGGAGATAATCCAGAATTAATCAGATCTAGCCCCTGCCCTCATGGCTCTTACATATCAAGAACTGTATGGTCACTGTCTGGCACATAGCGGGTGCTCAGTCCAGGTTTATTGAGTAGATGAATGAATGAATCAGTGAACATGCAACAATGGACTCACTCTGTATACTTAGCCCATGAATAACCTTGACTCAATTTAAACTTGAGCTTTCATTTATTGTACTTTTTTCCCTCCTTTGTTATTTTGGGTTATTCTTGTTTATTAGGTTAGAGTCCATAATTGGACATTTAAACCTGCCTCTTAGAAATTGTTTAGTCTAACAGTTCACTTTCCTACTTAAAATCCTCCAGCGAGTCCCTGTCACCATTAAGTCCAAATTCCTTAGCTTGCACGTAAGGCTGTCAGGTTAGGACCCCGCTCACCTGACGGGCCTCATCTCCGACGCTGCCCCCTCAGCGGCTACTCTGCCACACCGAACCCCCTGTCCGTGTCCAGAGGGGATCATCTCAGCGTGTCTTTGGCACCGTCATTTCCCAGCCCTCTGTGCCTCCCTCACCACCACTCGCCTTGGCAACCCTCAGCTTGAGCAGTCATCTCTCTTCAGTAGCCTTGGTGAGTTAGTTATGCCTCTTCTGCATCCGTAGCGCCCTGCACACATTTCCGCCCTGCTGCTTGTCGTGTGGTGCTTTAATGATTAATGTAGTTTATATTCCCCTGTCTTCCCATTTGGTGGTTTTCTAATGGGAAAGCTATGGATGTCTTTGTATATTTAACAACTGCCAGTGTCTGATGCATACCAGCTCCTCGTAAACGTTTGAATGAATTGATCTTACAGTAGTCTACTATATTTCTTAAATTTGGGCGTTAATTTTAAGCCTGAAATCCATATGATGCACTCCTTTGATTTTTTTTCCTCATTATTTTTTGTTCATTTGTTTGTCTTCTTTTTAAAAAAAAAAAATCCAGTAAATGTGCATTATATCATCCCTTGCTTCCATATTCTAATATGACGTCCCCAACTGGATGCTAACAAAGGCTTGAATAAATTGGAAATCTTTCTGGGAGCAGATTCTTTGAGGTTTAACTATAGTATTACTAACCACCAGCAGATGTTTCTAAATTATTTGGCATAATTAGATAACAAATTCCACTTCATTAAGCTGTTGTTCCTTTTCATTTCAGTGGTACAAAGGAGTTGCACATAAATTAGCTTGGTCTATTCATGTTTTACCCTCACTGTAGGGAACATAATCAAATTGAATGGCAATTCAATATGAAAATGGCCAACTTACCCTCTTAGAGGTTTGAAAATAAAAGCAACATAATCTTTCTCTCATCATCATAAATTTGTGTGCTACATCAACATTCCTGTTAGTGTTTATTAAGAGAGCAGATGTAAGTGACAGTTTACAAATTCATATTTTTAAATGGGTAAAAGAATATTTTTATTTGTTACTTATTAATACCTCTCATTGTTCAAGAAAGAATTTGAGGTGGTTTCCAGAAAGAGAGAATTCAGGAAGATTGAAGGCAGTCAGCATGGGGATTCCTTTTTCTCTTTCTTGTATCATTGATTTCACCCTCTCCTTTGGGCCGTTTCCCGTAGGTCACCATCATGCTTTCCTATTCTGAGTAAGAAAGCCTTTCCTCAGCTTTGGACCCTCTCAGCACCATGCTGAGCTGTGGGTGGCCCTCCTCCTACTGGAGGTTAATTGAGAGAGCATTGGAGATGCCCATCTCCTCTTCCCACGTGCCTGCTCTTTCACCCTCCACACCCTCTCGTCCAGCCACTGTGCTTTATCATACTTATTTATGAGGAAGTTGGGAATCTCATTCAGCATTAGTGGAAAAAAGAAAGGTAGGCAACTATGAAAGAAAAGTGTTGACACTTGTTAAAAACAACAACAAATGCTGAAGCCAGTTTGGCTCAGTGGTAGAGCATCGGTCTGCGGACTGAAAGGTCCCTGGTTCGATTCTGGTCAAGGGCATGTACATTGGTTGCGGGCACATCCTCAGTAGGGGGTGTGCAGGAGGCAGCTGACCGATGTCTCTCTCTCTCATGTATGTTTCTAGCTCTCTATCCCTCACTTTTCTTCTCTGTAAAAAATCAATAAGATATATTAAAACAAAACGAAACAAAAACACAAGAAAGACTTTATTCAAGGCCAGTGCTGTTTCAAGAAGAATCGACCTCCCTGTCTCACTTGGGAATATGTGGGCTTTCAACAGTGTGCACCATGTGGACGGTTCCCAGGTCTCTATCTTCGGCCTCGCCCCTTCCACACCCTCCAAATCTCCATCAGGATTTCCTGCAGACACTTTGAACTCCATGTGTTCCCAGTCCTTAGCTTGTGTTTTACCATCTCTCTTCCTTTGCCTCTAATATCCCGTCAGCCGCTAAGTAACTTGCAGCTTGGTCTTTGCAATAGCTTCCACATGTCTTTCTCTGTATTTCCAACTCTTGTTCTGCCCTTACTTTCAGTAAATTCTGCAATTCATACTCATGCCCTGACTCCCCCTCCCCACTTCACCCCCTGCTCTGCTGCCCATCCAAAAGGAAGCTCTTCACCTTCTGAATTCTTTATCCTTTTATCTGCAAATCTCCTGTGACAGCCGTAGGCATGTTCCTTTTCCAGTAGTTATGTATCTTTATCATGTTTTTCTAGGCTGACGGTTTCTGTGAGGTAAGATTCACACTTTCTCATTGTATGCCTGACTGTCCTTGGTGCAGTGCTTCACATACAGTAGCTACTCAAAAACATTTAGGTGAATAAAATAGTTCTCAAACCATAGTGTTTCTGCAGTTTAACAGTTCCAAAGGCAGAAATATAAAGCATTCTTTAATTTTCTGCAACTTTGTAATACTTTAAGATGATAGTAGCTAATATATCTCAAAATTTCTCATATGTTGTTTTTATGGCCTAATGGTACTATTTTCATTCTTTAAAGGAGGAGATAGATATAGTCCTAAAATATCTATTACTTTGGGATAGATCGCTTTTGTCAGCTTGACTTTTTTCAAAATTTCCCCCTGAAATTCTGATTGGATTTTACTGTTTTATATTCTGTAAAAGCCTCTTTGCCCTCCTTTCAACTTTCAAAGGAGAAGGGAGGGGACACTCACCAGCATCTGCAAGCTCAGGGTTTGCTAATCCAGGTTGATTGGCTGGTCCCTTTGCCAGGTGTCCAGTATTCACCTAGAAGCAAACTTCTTGTGAGACCGAGCTAAAGATGAGGAAAATACGGGTATGCCATTTGTTATCTGAACTCTGTTCTTTTAGACTTTTTTAGGCCACTAGCAGGGAGGAGGTGAAGGGAAGTCCTTCCTTGTTCAAGCTCACTTTCAGGCCTGAATGGGCTAGGCCAGTGGTTGGCAAACTCATTAGTCAACAGAGCCAAATATCAACAGTACGATTGAAATTTCTTTTGAGAGCCAAGTTTTTTAAACTTAAACTTCTTCTAATGCCACTTCTTCAAAATAGACTCCCCTGGCCGTGGTATTTTGTGGAAGAGCCACACTCAAGGGGCCAAAGAGCCGCATATGGCTCATGAGCTGTGGTTTGCTGACCAACGGCTAGGCAAGTTAATAGGACATTTGCATATTACTCTTCAGTTTAAAAACTGTCTTATTAAGTGTTTTTAAAGTTGCTGAATAGAAGTCACTAAGCAGTGACCAAAAAGCTCATGCCAAAGATTGTTTTCCAGAATGTGCTGAAACTCCAAAAGAAAGATGGAGTCAGTGGCTTATAGGATATTTCATGTATTGCTAATAATACTTCATTTCACTGAGGGGAAAAAATTGAGGGATGAAATTGACTTTGCAACTCCTATAAGTTGTTTTTAGTGATACTACCTATTTAAGTATTTGATTAGCATTTGTTAATATTTTCAGGTTTGGTCTGTGGACCAAAGGGTCCTGTGTTCAATTCTGGTCAGGGGCATGTACTGTGGTTGCAGGCTCCTCCTCAGGCCTGAGACCTGGTCAGGACTTGTGCAGGAGACAACCAATCAATGTGTTTCTCTTACTTCGATGTTTCTGTCTTTCCCTCTCACTTCCACTCTTCTTAAAAATCAATAGAAAAAATATCCTCGGGTGAGGATTAAAAAACATTCTCAGGTTTGGATGTTATCTCATTGCTAGGGGTCTGTTGCACAAAATTTGTGCGCGCCCCCCCCCCCCCGGGGGGAGGGTGGTCCCCCGCAGCTCAGCCTGCTTCCTCTCACATACGGGGAGCCCTCAGGGGACAGCCCTGGGCAGGGGATCCCCAGCTGGCTCCGATCGCCCGCTCTTCCCCCAGCCAAGGCCAGCAGAAAGCGTGGGTTCCTCCATTGCTGGGGAAACCCAAGCTTCCCTCCGGCTCTCCATGGCCACAGCTATCTTGGTTGGGTTTATTTGCATATTAGCTCCTGATTGGCTGGTGGTCATGGTTGATGGTCATGGCTCGTGGGTGTAGTGGAGGTATGGTCAATTTGCATATTACTCTTTTATTAGATAGGATATCTGTGTGAAAAATATGTAGTTACAGCCGAGAGCCATAAAAACACAAAGCATAATTCATGTTTTTTTCTCCTTTCATCATAATGTTTAAAAGTTAACTAGAGACTTCAGGTTATATTCCTTGAATGTGAAATGATTCTCAACTTGTCAGTTCACTCTTAGTTGAAGTTAAAAGGGTATTATTTCAAAACTAGAAGAAAAAGGAACACAGTGGATTAATAATACGGCACTAAAAAGGAAGGAGGAAACAAATGTGGCTATACACTGAGGACACTTGCAGGATACTTAGAAGCCTGTCATCCTGAGTTTTCCAGACAGATGGCTCTGTGGTTCTCTGGAGAGACACAAGCCTCTTTACCCACCCTCTCCCCTCATCTGCTGTTCGTAGGTCTCTCCAGACAGTGGAGCCCTTTCTCCTCTCTCCCTCTCCCTCTCTCTCTCTCTCTCTCTCTCTCTCTCTCTCTCTCTCTCTCTCTCTCTCTCTCTCTCTCTCTCTCTCTACACACACACACACACACACACACACCCCAACTTCAGGAAAGCTGGGAGGAAAGGAGCAGTGATTACACTCACCAATCTCAGGACTTGTTCCTTTGAGGTGACATCTCATTCAGCTCAGGCTAATCAAAACATTTCTCCTTTCATCTTATTTTTCAACTATAATAATTGGCCTTAGGGAAAATAGAGGCATCTGAAAATTTAAAAAAGATTTTTTGGAAAGCATTTTAATTTAATGCTTGATAAAAAGTTGATAAAAATCTTAACAGAAAATGTTCAACATTTTCAGATCTTATAATAAGCTATTTTCCATTACCAGGGGAAGAAGGAAAATTAATGTATATTAAGTATCAATATTAGATAATCTGCAAAAAATATTTGGCCCAATGTAGGTTTTTTTGTGTTTTTTTTTTCATTTGAAATAAATATGCAGTTCTAATATGTTGCTTACAGATATATTTTAGCTGCATAATTAGATGGCAGGGTACAATTTTAAAAATTTAAACAAAAGGCTTATGGAAATACAGTTAAAATGCACTTAACTAATCCCTAGATTTATAGACCAAGAATTTATATAGGTAGCCGAAACCGGTTTGGCTCAATGGATAGAGCGTCGGCTTGGGGACTGAAAGGTCCCGGGTTCGATTCCGGTCAAGGGCATGTACCTTGGTTGTGGGCACATCCTCAGTAGGGGGTGTGCAAGAGGAGCTGATCGATGACTCTCTCTCATCGATGTTTCTAAACTCTCTATCTCTCTCCCTTCCTCCCTGTGCAAAATAAATAAAATATATTTAAAAAATAATAATTTATATAGGTAGATTTTAGCTAATTTTTTTATTGAGAAAAATGCAGCAGATTTAAATAATAAATAGCATTAAGAAGCACTTTTTCAAATTTATGATTTTAAAGCCAGACTTAGAATTGGTAATATAAATGGGAATAAATGAAGTCTGCCGTTTTAAACTCTCAAGTTCTGTATTTCAAATCTATTTTTAAAAATTACATCTATCTACCCTAGCCAGTTTGGCCCAGTATTTAGGGCAGTTTGTGGACTCAAGGGAACCGGATTTGATTCAAGTCAAGGGCAAATGCCCGGGTTGTGGGCTCGATCCCCAGTGTGGGGCGTGCAGGAAGCAGCCAATCAATGATTCCCTCTCATCATTGATGTTTCTATCTCTCTCTCCCTCTTCTTTCCTCTCTGAAATCAATAAAAATAAAAAAATTTAAAAATTATATCTAAAACTTTTTCCCAATTATAAAAATACATTGTTAATACTGAAAACTTGGATGAACTGGTGCATTTAACACTGTATTTATTATTACTTTATATACTGTCTCTTTCTTAAAGAACTCGAAGGTGAAGTTTAATAGGCTTCACATTTTATTTTCTAATACTTTATTATAAAAAGATTCCTTCAGAAAGCTGCTATAGAAAAATTGTCTGTCATATTGTTATCAGGTAACTAAATGCATGATGGTAGTTATGTTGTAAATCACTTTTAAAACTCTAATAAGAAAAAAAAAATCATTAGTAACACTAGCAAAATTATCAAAATAGATGTGGGAGATTATAGAAATTTAAAATGCCATCAGATCTTAACCAACTTACTAGTATACTTGGCCACAGCAATGCTCTCCCTCATCTCCCCCAATTATTTAATCTTTTTTCCCCAATTATTTAATCTTTATTCCCTCCCTTAAAGTGAGTGTCAAACCATATCTTTGTAAGGTTTTCCCTTATAAAGCAGAAAGTTTTCTCAAAGTTCTGCATCTCAGAACATAGATTTTACAAGATGAATATTCTGTAAACTTCAGTAGGCTTTGCTGCATCATCAACCAGTAGCAGAATTGGGACTAAGCACTCGTAAGTAGAGGATTGGGGAAGTATCCTTGAGCAGTTAGCATTGCTCCCTGACATTGGAAGACATGAGCTTGGTTGCTGTTATGCACCCTCCCCCCAAAAAAAGGGTCCCAGGAGAAATAACCCTGAAGAAAAAAATCAGCGAAGTTAGAAATAAAAAAATATAAACCGACAGCCGAAACTTGGATGCCTACAATGAGCAGATAAGAAAGATAGACAATAGGGAATGTTGAGGAATTTCCCAATTTTAAATGTTGGTAATTATTTGAGGCCTTAAAAAGCACTGTGTGGGCCAAAGAAAATACATCTTTTGGCTGGCAGGTGAGGCAATTCCAGGCCACGGTGTACATTTAGAATATTAATATTTCTTCTTTAATATTATAAGAAAAATAAAATCATGCTATTTCTGAATTCCAAAGAGAACCTTAAAAACATGACTCGGGGGGTATTTTCTTTCCTTTTAGTCTTTTATTTGTTATTGGTTTTTCATATTTATATGCTATGTACCTTAACCACTAATTCAGATCTTTTTTCTTATAAAAAGTTCACAGACACACACACACACACACACACACACACACACACACCTGTGGATGTATGTACTTACTAGTTCCGCTGAATTTTGGAGTTCTTAATGAATTTCTATAGTTTAGTTTTTATAAACAAGAAAAGGCCTCTATTTTGCAATGCAGTATTCTATGACAGCTACACTAAAAAGTTAGGAGAATTATTCTAACTTCTCCACTGAGTAGATGCTTTTTTAATTCCTTTGGTTTATATCTCTCCAGCTTAGCTCCTGAGAATGTCATAACAATCAAATATGATGGTTTGGCTTTAAATATTTCCATTGTTTTAGGAGAAGTAATGTACTTCAAATCCACAAATGCACTTCATTACAGCTATTGGTGTTTGGCCCCTGGAAAACTAACCTTTGGTGAATCCTTTGACTTAAAGTAACATTTTGAATATTGAGAATATTCATATTGAGAGTATTTATAATGACTTAGCTCTGAAACTTCACTGAATAGAGTGAAAACATTTTCTAGGGAATCCACAAGATGGCGCTTGCTAACCTATTTCCTCTTTTTCCCTGAGCTTAAGAAAATGTGGTAATTTGAGAAGAAACATCTAAATATTTATGTATTTTAAATAATA